GATATAATTTTATATTTTTAATTATTTTAAAAGCAAATTTAATTGAAATTATTTAATAAATTATTATTTAATTCAAAATTTTATTTTTATTCAATTATGATACTTAATTCTTAGTGACTAATTTTGTAAGAGACTATTTTATAATTGTTATTTTAGTAACGAAATCATTGAATACTAGTGTTTATTGAATTTTCAAAAATGCCCTTCTTTTATTTTTTGGGATATGTTTTTTCAAGACTAAAAATTTTGTCACACATTCAATTTGTGACATTTTTGTTTTGTCATTGATAATAATAGTTGTAACAAGTTTTTGGGTCACAAATAATCCTAATTGTGACTAACATGGTAGTATTTGTTTCATTTTTTTTTAGTCACAGATAATTCTAGTTGTGATTAAAAGGAAACATCACAAATGATTTAATATTAGTAACCAAATTTTATGTCACAAACAATTTCTTTTGTGACGAGTTATACATGTTACAAATGAGGTTCCTTTTTGTGTCTAATTATTTTATCACAAATAGTCATCATTGTGACGCAAAAATTTATTACAAATACGATAGTAATTGTGTCCATCTTCACTGTAACTAAAATCATGATTTGTTGTCATGAATCCAAAATTAGTTACTATTACTTTTAGTGACTCAATATTTGTAACGGATAGTGACCAACCAAATTTTAGATACAAATATAATTTATGACAAAAAAATTCAATTTTTATGACTAATTTTCTTGTCACAGTTAATCCGTTTCCTTGTAGTGCCTCCCTCTGGGTTTGGGTTCAACCCGGTTCCTTCTCAACCTGTTCAAAAAAAATTAAAATAAAAAATTTTAATAAACTAATAAAATTTGATTTTCATTATTAATTTTGAAAAGAAAAACCAACAAATTATTTTTTTTTATTATTTAAAATTTGATAACCAAAAACAATTAACTAAACAGGAACATAGAATTAAACCTCTCATTTTATTAAAAAAAAAAAAGAATTTATACTATTTTTAAAAAATAAAAATGAGAAGAAAAATAGATTACGACCGTCAGCCTAGAACAGTCGGTCCCTATAGCATTAGCAGAAGTGGGGCAATATTTTCCTAAAAGCAAGCAAATCTTCCACACCTGCTGTTTGTGCTATGCTACTAAGCTGGGCAATTTCATTTTTCTTTGAGCTTTTGTAACTTTGTTGTTAGCAATTTTTCTGCCCGCTATTCTTTTTCAGTTTTTTTTTTTTAGTAAACTATATAAATGGTCACTCACTTTTATTATAATTTTTAATTTAGTTACTCTCCTTCTAAATTTGTAAATTTGATGATTAAACTTTGATTTTACTTGCTATTGTTTATCTCTAACCATCACTTCCTAATTTCGGTTAAATTTACTGATGATGTGGTGTGAACCAAGAAAAAAGAGTTGACATGTCACCTACATGGAAAACAAATATAAGGCCGAATAATTTTTAGGCAGAAAAAAAATTATAATTACAAACCCTAGAAAGCATACCTAAGCCTAATATGTGTCACTTTTTTTTTTTTTTCTTTTTATGAAAATGGAAATGTCATTAAACGAAATTAAGTTTTACAAAATAAAGTCTGACATACAATACAGGCATTCCTATCATGAGAATAGCAAGAAAAGCAAAACATAGTGACAGAATCAAAAGAAACAAAAATATTCTCCATGAAAGCTATGTCCTTGGCGAGTGTATCGACTATTCCATTTGCTTCACGGTAAGTGTGCTTGATACGGACACCTTCCAATCTTTGAATCAACAATCTGTAGCAAGCAACTAGTGCTTTATGAATGTTCGTAGCAATAGAAATATCATTCAAGACGTGAACAACAAACATAGAGTCAACTTTTACTTCCAGATATTTAATACCTAGTTTTAGTGCTAACTTAAGTCCAACTTTAACCCCCCAAAGTTTAGCATCATTATTAGTTCCAAAATCCAGATTTTTAGCAAAACCAATAATCCAATTACCTTCTTCATCCCGAATAATACCCCCAACCCATGTTGTGTTGTAGGTGTGTTTAGATGAACCATCAGAGTTCAGTTTAAACCAACTAGGCTGCGGTGGTGACCATTTGACAAGGTGAAAGAAACATGAAATTGATTTCCTAGTATGGGGTTTAGAGGAACAGAATTCAGTAGCTAGCCTTGTTGCTCTATACTTAATGCCTTGTAAGTTGGAAGAGTTTTTAAAGCAAAGGTGATTTCTATCAAGCCAAATATTCTAGATCATAGCACAAAAGAATGTTGCCCAGGGGATTTTTGGATGATCAAGCCAAATTTTTTAGCTCTAGTTGATTTTGAGCCAGTTAAAAAGGTCAAGATGGAAGCTATGTTGGAGATTAGAGGGGATTGGGGTGGATATCCAAAGGTTGTAGACCATAAGGCAGTCATGGATGAGATGGAAAGGAGACTTTAGAGTAGAATTACAATGAACACAAGCAGCAAGAACTTGAATACCCCAAGAAGTCAAAAGAAGTCTAGAGGGAATTCTTTCATAAGCCAGCAACCATAGAGAAAATGTAATTTTGGGAATAATGGGACACTTCTAGATCCATTTCCAAGTAAAATCATTGGTAAGAGAGGAGAAATTACAAACCAAATGAGAAGCAAAAGAAAGTGTAAAAGAGCCATTGGGAGAGAGCTTCCAAGTAATGCAATCATCTTCATAGGGATTTGCAAGTTCTAGGTGAGAAACAATGGTAGATTTAATTGAGAATGGAAGAGAGGAATGAAGTTCACCAAGGGAAGAGTGAAAATTCATGACATCAACTATCACGAGGGAAGAGTGATCAAAGTAGAAAGGGCCATTAACAATTTTGTCAATAGGACCAAAAGGAAGCCAATTGTCATGGAGGAAATTGACTTGGTTACCTTTGTTAATAGTCCAAGAAGTTTCAACGAGAAAGGAAGAGTGAAGTTTAGCCATGGCTCTCCATATGTGAGAAGATTGATGAGAATATCTTTGAAAATAGTATTTAGTTCCAAGTGGATCAGTCCAAGGATAGCTTGGGAGGGTTAGAAAATGCCAAATGAGTTTCATGATGGAGACTTCATTTAATTTGGAACACTTTCAAATGCCAAGGCCATTATGTGCTCTAGGTAAATAGACAATATCCCAATTAATGAGGTGAAGCTTATGTTTAGAAGGTTCATCCAGTCAAAGAAAATCTCAAATCAATTTATAAAAGGAATTATAGGTGCTTTTAGGTAATAGGTTACATTACCTAACATGTAATGGAAGAAAGGAAATGGTGGAATTAATCAATGTAAGTTGTTGACCTACAGGGGACAATAGTTTTGCTTTCCATCCATATAGCTTTTGCTTGGCTTTATCAATTATAAAATCAAAATTAGACTTTATAATTTTTTTTGAAGCCATGGGGAACCCAAGGTATTTACCAATGTTGTTGGCTTTCTTAAGACTAAAAATGGAGCAAATGGTATTATTGGTATCCTTAGTAACATTTGGGGAGAAAAGAATCTTAGATTTTTGGGTGTTGAGAGATTGTCCAGAACAAGAGCATAAGCTATCAAGGGCTTCCTTAATGGCTAATGCAGTGGAAATTTTTACCTTACCAAATAATAAAGGATATGTGAAAAAGAAGGTCCATTTCTAAAGGCTTTAAGTAATCTCCAATCTCCTAGGTTGCATTTTTGCTCAATGAGGAAGGAAATGTATTCCATACACAAAATAAATATATATGGGGAGATTAAATCATCTTGGCGAATTCCCCATGATGAATAGAATTGATTAGACAGTGATCCATTAATATTGATAGTAATGGAAGTGGGGAAGTGGTGCATATACATGTCATGATCATCTCAATCCATAAAGGTGGAAAATCAAAATGTGTGGGGCAATTTTTAATGAAATCCCACTCAAGGCTGTCAAAAGCCTTGTTGAGATCAATTGTTATAGCCATATCCCCTATAAAACCTTTTCTTTTATTCATGGCAAAGATAATTTCTTAGGCAATAATGACATTACCAACAAGAAGGCGCCCTGGATTGAAACTAGATTGAAAAGGACTAATGAGCTCATCAAGGAAAGGCCTAAGTATAAGGACAAGAAGTTTAGAGCAAAGTTTGTAAATGGTATTGCAAAGACTAATGAGACGAAGGTGTGAAACCAAAGTTGGATTTTGGATTTTAGGAATAAGGGTAACAATGGTTTGGTCTAGATTTTTAGGGAGTATAGGGGTGTTGAAAAAGGACGAGATAGTGGAATAGACGAAATTTTTTGTGTGGGGCCAAAATTTCTAAAAGAAAATAGCATGAATGCTATCTCAACCTAGAGCCTTAAAGGGGTGGAGTGATTTGAGAGTACTAAAGATTTCCTCCTTAGATAAAGTAGAGCAAAAATTAGGATTATGCGAGACAGGTGGATGAGAAGGGTTCCAAGCAAGGTTAAGACAAAAGGTAATGGTATAGTGAGATTTACTCGAGGTATACAGTCTTTGAAATGAGTCAATAATGTGATTATTGACATCCAAAGGAGATGAAAGTTCATTATTGGAGTAATCAAAGATTGTGTGTATTTTGTTAGATTTTCTCCTAGTAATGGTACTATGATGAAAAAATCTAGTGTTGCATTCACCATCATTGAGCCAATTAATTCTAGATTTCATTTTCCAGAGATCCTCTTCTTCAAGAAGAATAGCTTGTTAATCAACAACTAATTCTTTATGAAGAATGAGAAGGTTGTGAGAATTTTAGGTGG